CGAAGAGGTAACATTTCATCAAGATATAAATTATTCAAACGACGTTTATTATCAAATAAAATGCCAAATGTTAAAAGAGTCAACAGAGGAAAGGAAAAAGCCCGAAAGCTAATTAACCTTGATTCACCAGATATCAAAAGAAAGCTTGCCCATATCGAACAACAACTACTTAGAGGACATAACGAATACGAAGCTAGAGAGCTGTTTCACGAGTACTATACTATTACCGGAAAGGAACACGAACTTAGAAGAAGGCATTCAAACTCTAAAATGGAAATATTACAACAACCGCATGAAACAAATGAAAACGGAGAAAGCTCTAAGACGTTGCTTCCAGGAGAACATAACGCTAATGACACCGGAACAAAACCTAACGAACTTATCAATATCGGATGCGAACAAGATTGTGAAAATGGAACAACATCTATTCCTACAAAGTCTGAAAATGATGATGAGAGCGAAACGACAACCATTATTAAAGGCGGAGAAAATATTATTGAAATATCTTCGGATGAAGAGTGGGTTGAAGAGGTCGAAGAGGAAGAACCGAACGCATGCTGTGATAACATCACAAGGACAAACAGATGCGCAGAATTAAAGCTAGACAATTCTGTAAGTAAATTTAATATATATATATATATCAATGGGAATAAATGTAAATTATAAATAAACGTAAATATATATAATTTTAGGAACTATTGTGTTTTAACAAAGAGTTAAAGAGGGGTTTTGACATCTTTCATGTCATTAATACAGGAATACCAACCAGCAGTATATGGTACAACCAGAAAGAGGGCAAATGCGAAGCATTGGACATATGTACTAAGACCCACACCATTTGCCGATATTTCGACGGCAAGGAAAGCGAATTCTCGGGACAACTGCATACACACACCATTCTTGCAAGCTACGTCCTCGACAAATCTGAAAGAAGCCCCGAAGGGGAGGCACTACGAATCAGACGAGCATACTTCCGTGAACGCCAATACCTCTGCAGAGGATGTGGGGAAATTACTAGAAAACGGTACGGACACTTCTGCCACATGTGCAACTGCAGGATTTCGGTTAAGCACGTTACTTCCGCTTCTTACTTCAAGAATGCTGTTGTCTACGTGCTTGACCGTGATTAGTTACGTAAAATCACACATAACATTTGACCTGGACAACATACAGGAAGAAACAATACTCACGAAAAGACAACCACAAAAACAACAACAAAAACAAAACTTTGCAAATTACTTATTTGAAAATAAAATTATGAATTCACGACATTATGACGACGAACTTGCCAGGAGTCCAACATTAAGACAACTTGAATTTACAATACAATTAAAGGACCTTGAAATTATTAAAAAGACGATATTTCGACAGGTATACCTACAACAACGTAACATAGACGTACTAACGCCTAGAATAGTAGTATCAAACAACAAAAAACGCTTGGGTGCTCTGATGTTCTTTCTATCAAACATCGCCCTACAAAACCAAATATCCGTCAATAGGCTAAAACAATTACTTTGCAACTTTATCTTCAATCTCAACCACAAAAAACGAGGACTCATTCTATGCGGACCATCAGATTCAGGTAAAACATTTCTTGCTAACTTACTATATTCGAACTTTAAGCCACATGAAATTGGGTACTTCAACTGTCCCACTGGACCTAATCCATCTGCTTTTCTACTCCAGGCATTAAGTAATTGTTTAGCTTATAGATGCGACGAAATGGTTTTTGAACATTTAGGCGTGATTCAGTTGATGAAACAACTATTAGAAGGATCAAATACGCTTACAACAGACGTCAAGAACAAAGATGCGATGCCAATCGATCCACACCCAACTCTTATCACCATGAATTCTACATCAAAAGCCGACATCTTAAAATGGCATCCTTCTGAGTATCAGGCGTTTGAAAATAGGTGTACGATCCTTTTCCTAGGAACGCCATTACTTAACATATTCAACGATAAGGAATTACAGGAAATAAATACCTGTGGTTCTGAATTGCTGTATATGTTAAGTATGCACAAATTGGACAGAGACACAAATACTGCAGGGGTATTGGATAAATTTCAAGACTTTATTTTTTTATAATAAACAATAATTGTGTATATAATATTATTAAAATATATAATTTACAATAACTTTTGCTTTTTTTCTAACGGTTCGTCATTATCCAACTGTTCCACTTTACCAATAAACATAGTACTAAAAGCAGGATAATAAATTTTCTGATACGAATTAACAAATGTAATTTTAGGATTGTTTTTTACACACGGGTTAGCCATAGTGACAGTTGTATATGTAGCATCTTTACCAAAACGGGATTGCTTAATAGTAGGACGCTTATAATTTTCGTTAACAGGCTCAACACGGGTACGATCATATGTCCAATCTTTATCAAATACTTGAATTCTATGTCTAAGTCTTAACCGTCCTCTAACAGTAGTGGGCATTACATCTTTACCAATATAAGCTGGGTCAATACAAAAATATAAACGCTTGCAATTTTTGTTTCCACTAAAAAGCATAACAGTAGGTAAATTATTCCAATAGGTATTACTAACGCTTTCCGCGGCTTTATCACCAGCAGATATATCATAATTAGAACGATTTTTAAATAACACAGCTGAATGATCGAACTCGTCGTACGGTTGCAAAAATACATCAAAACATTGCTCAATATTATAGGGATCTCGTGAATCTGCACAATATGGTGTAATAGCATTCAGTATACAACCTATATTGCCAGTGTTATATTGTTCATATGGAGAAACACCCTGCCTCTGCAAATACCATCGGTCTAACTGCACAGGATAACGTATATTTTTACGCTTATCGTCGCCTTCGGAAACAATAGAACGAGCAATTAGATTTTTAATTCCATAATTAGGCATATGAATATGACCAAAGCGGTAATCACAAGGATATGTATTAACAATAGACCAATTCTCGTCAAAGAATCCCTGAGCTTTCTGTTTGTCAAGAGAGGCAGTAGAATCGATAAATTGACCCCCTGGATCAAGTGAGGTATCAGTAAACTTAAAGGATCTAGACGTATACGGATCATTTACAAGTAACTTTATAGGCTTACGCAAACCAATGTCATTCTTCCAAACAATGCTATGAATAACTTTTTCAGCTACATTATTTTTTTCAACAAATCTAGGATCTTTAGTACTAACCACATTAGAGAATCGAGTAGTGACAGGTTTACCAGCTTTATCATTATAAAACAATGAATTTTCCAACATTTTAACGGAAGGCAGAGGACTAGGTTTCTTATCAGCCGAACTAAGTTTCAAATTCACCATTTTAGACCAATCATCTGAATCTGCCAAGGGATAACAAACATCAGATATTAACTGATCACCTTCAACATCGAAAAATCTCAAACCAATATTTGACATTTCCAATGGTACAGATGAATTTTGGGTTGTTTTCAACTGATTTTCAACGCGAACGTCCATAACATCACATTCAACTGACTTATCAACATAATATATTCCACCTGTAGCCATAAAGTATTGATCGGTATTAGTCCAGAGATTAGGGTAATCAACAGGAAAATAATAAACATTTTGAACAGTATCATTAGTACAATCAACACACCAATATATAGATTGTTCCACACAATATTCATCATAAAACCCTTTACTGCAATCAAATCCTCTTTCGATAACGAAATCGGGTGATGCGCTGACTTCGTGATTCGGAGGTTGCTCTGCCATTAATTACGTGATAACCTCGTTGCGACCAACCTTTTCTTCCTTTTGGATGAACGAATATTCTTCTGTGTGTCCGCACCATAGGCAGCTGCTACATCAAATGAATAATTTCCAAACAACTTCTCTAATATAGCAGGACTCTCCTTCATAACACTCCATGGCATTGCATGTTTAGGTAATTCATCATAAAACTTAGGAAACTGATACGGTTCAAAACTATATTTATGCAACTGTTTAGCTATATTAGCCTGTTTAATATAAGGAATTTCTTTAGGGTCATATATATCAACATTTCCTGGTTTAAGTCTCATATAATCGGGTAAGTCATCTTGCGGAACAGGTTGATAATCAGGATCATAATTCCACCCTTCCACACTTTCAGACATAGTACTCATATCAGTAATATTACCTACTTTGGTTGAATTAGAATTGACAGAGCTAGTAGTAATAGTGCTAGATAGTGACCAATCAGAATCAGAATATAACATATCTTCAAAAATATTAGTAGGCCTTGTTTTACCCATTTCTTTCAATGCAATATACTCCGTTTTACTTATATTATTTTTAGGTAATATAGCTGTTTTTAAAATCTTTCTAACATTAGGCATATGCATATAAGGTATAGTATCTTTAGCTAAACTAGCAACTGCTTTAACGTTTTTGAGTGCGCTTACAACACTTTTGGGATTAGGAGCACCTGTTAAACCAGTAACAACAGATTCAGCAATACGTGCAACATTTTTATTTTTAAAATTTTTTTCGTTGACACCAAATATTTGATTATCCCATCCAGGTGCAACCTGTAAAGACTTCTTAGGGTTAACTTTGTTTTGTTTAAAGTGCGCTTGATTCTTGTTGAATCCGTCCGGAATCGGAAAGTAATATTCGTCTCCCATCTGTGAGTGTGACTGTATTAGTGCATCCACATATGTTCCAAATATCACACGCAAATAAATTATGATCAACACATTCATTATATAATGACTTACAAGCGGTACGGCCACACCAATCGCAATGGGTAACCGATACCAACGCTAACAACATTAAGAACATTTTAATAAAACTTTATAACCACGCCTTATATACTTTTTATAATCGGATTAATAACCAACAGTAATACGAAACATTTATAAATTCATTATCGACCCGCCATCCTTCCAACCATATAACTATGAGATATTATGCCATTTTTATGTTAATAGAAATTATCCTACCGACCACGTGGGATCCCACGTGGTCGTCAGAAATATAACTTTAGAATCTCTTCCACTAAATCGTCCCATTTCTGCCGAGAAGAAAAAAGATGTTGAGAAACTCTTGAAACTATTATATGGCGATGGATGGCAGAGTGAGCCTGATTTTGAATGGTACAGGAAAATATTATTCGATGAACAAGACGGAAATGAAGAGGAAGATGAAGTGCGTGACTGTTTGGATGAACATATTGGAATGAGAATTTAAATTGTTGAGTATGTATTATTATTGTGTTTTATGTTACCATATTTTTGAATTTCTTAATTTGTGTGTTGCGTTATTTCAAAATTTTTCAAATTCTTGAATTGCACCAATAAACCCCATTGACTTTGTGTTATTCGTTTGTTGTATTACTTAAATCATTCAAAAAGTGTTTTATCCTTGTGAGACTCAATCAAAACATGTTTTTTCCTTATTATTCTGTCAAAATGTGTTTTCTCCAAAAAATAAATGCATTTTTTTCATTTGTTTTCAAACAAATATCTAAAATAATGTATCAGAATACTCCTCAGAGCTATTAAGAACAATAGAAAACTATAACTTTGATTCATGACAGTTCTTTAAATTTTTATCAGTTTTTTGCGTTTCCTGTAAATTCTCATCTGAAGGAGAAAGCACGGTTTGAACGTTTGCTCCTCATCTTTTGTTTTCTTGGCATTATAGTTCAAAATTATATAATTTAATTTATTTGGATGCATACAATATAGTCATACGTTGACAAAATTATTTAAAATTTTATGCTGGTGTAAACACTGTCATTTTTGACAGCCATTTTGTGTGACGCCATCTTGAGACGCTATTCTTACAGTGCACGTGGTGAATACTCTCTGTTAGTTTTGGTATATTTTTCAAAGTTATCATTAAAGTAAGTACTCAAATCGAATAATATTACTTTAAGAATATTACATTACATAAATTAACATAAAAATATTTTTATTTCACTCAGTATTTTGTGATTAAAATTATTTTAAGTAATATTAGAAATTTTCGTACTAAAATTGGTTATTTTTTTAGAAATGGGCAAAAAAAAGGACTTATCTCTAGAAAAAAAAGTTAAATCCAAGCACTTCTTACAAATACTGGTTTTCTTAAAGAGGAATCGCCAGAAGATGTAATGTTTCTAGAGTGTCAGTGCAGAATATCCAAAAAAAAATTGTCAACATGGAAAACCAAACTCCAAAAAGGACTGGGAACTGCGGTAAAAAAAGAATTCTTACTCCACGAGGTGAAAGAATTCTTACCAAAATAGTATTGAAAGATATGCTAGCATCAAATGATGATATCACTGAGAAGTTGGAGAGCTCTGGTATTAAGATGTCAAAGAGAACGGTTCAGCGTCGTCAACACGATCTTGGCTACAGCTCAAGACGTCCGGCTAAAAAGACAAAATTAACGCCAAAAATGATGGAGAAACGATTAGAATGGGCAAAAAAATATAGAAATTGGCCTGAAGACGATTGGAAAACGGTATAACAGATTATTTTATTAAATAATACTTTCAATATTTTTTAGGTTTGCCTTAGTGATAAGAGCACGTTCCAAGTCTTATCAAAAAAAGCACAATACGTGAAAAGGAAGGTTGGAGAGAAATATTTAAGTAGCTGTATTATTCAAACCGTCAAACATCCAACCTCGGTGATGATTTGGTCGGTTATTTGTGGGAAAGGAATGGGAACGCTGTACATTGTTCAAGTGATAATGAACCAGATGCAGTATAAAAATGTCCTGGAACAAAGATTGTTACCCCAATTGACGGAATGGTTTGGTCCAGAGGAAAACAAAACATTCATGCAAGATGGAGCACCATGCCATACGGCTAAGTCAAAATCTTTGTGATAGAAAATTATATTCCTTTGTTGGATTGGCCGGAAAATCCGCCGAATCTCAATCCTATAGAGATTGTTAGGGAGGTGGCCAAGGAAAATATTACAAACAAGGTGGTTCTAATAGAAAGTATTATAAAACAATAAAACCTCAATGCAAGATTGAAGGAAATGGCAGAAAACTGCAAAAAAAGCATTCCTAAAAGGGTACAGGCAGTAATCGATGCAAAAAGGGTGGGGGGTTACAAAATATTGATTGTAACGATATTATATGAATACTTTATATTAAAGTTTATTTATTCTTCTAAAATGGTAATTTTTTATTAACAC